AAAAAAAAAAAAAAAAAAAAAAAAGAAAAAGAAAGAAAAGCTATATATAGTCATAAGAAATTTGGATATATTTTATTTGATGAGAAGATTAGCAAAAGTGAAGTAACCTCTTGGTTATAAGTTATAGGAAGATTCAAAAGCTGCTTCTAAAGTTTCAAGCCTGAATGGATAGCAACCACTCCTCCAACAAGATTTTCGTACTCGACCTTCTCGAAGCCAGCTTCGACGATCATGGAAGCAAATTTCTCCTACATCCCACCAATCAACATCAATGAAGAACACAGTTGTAAGAGCTAGGCAAAAAATAATACGAACAAACTAACGATATCTTGTTCGATTTTGTCTAATAACCCAAGTGTTGGAGCCCGACCCCTTGCGTTACACTCATGGCCAACCCACTAAACCATGGAGGAGAGGCTTTATTGCAGCAGCATATATTAGATATTTACAGTCCATCCATGGAAGAGGAGAGGATGCATTGTTCTAGATCTATTTAAGTAAGATCCCTTAATTCTAATCAAACAGGAATTAGAACTTGCTTATTAAAGGAGAATTGTAAGAAGTATTATTGATTGCTATCTGGGAAGGGAACGGACCAAAGAGAGTTCTATCTTCCAACACTTGAGAATATCCAATGGCAAAAGTAATCTAGCTGGACATGGTCAAGGACTTGTTCCTCTAACAAATATTTTCTCCACATATTTTTCTGTGTCAGCCTTCATACCCTCCAAATATAATTCATCGTCAATCATTTAAAGACCTCGAAGTTCCCAAATGGTATTGATCTCGCCAGCGATGCCAGTGCTTCTTCGATTCTAGGTATTCTCGTAACATTCTCTTGAATGTTCCCAATCTCCATTTTCATCTCCCCTAGTTCATGATCCGCAACATCTTGGCAAACCTCCCCGGGATGATGCTTCTATACCAATTTGTAAGGTATCTCCTTAAAATATATTGATATTCAGGGGAAAATGTCTTGTCCTAAGGCAATACAAAACTTCTAGCTAAGTGAAGAGGGCTCGAAAACTCTCCCTTCCTCTCTCAAGTCGAAAACAATAAAATGAAAATCATAAAATCGAAACATAAAGCTCAACCGTAAATACCCAATACGCTCCCCACCCCCCTACAATACTGATGGTCCCTTCTCTCAACATTCCTCTTACAAACTTGTCAAAAGCGATTTATCCTTCTTGCCCTTGGTAATATTTTGTAATTTGGGGGCCTAACACTCATCTGCTAATAAGAACTAGACGGCCACAATGTCAAAGAAAAAGCTAAGATCTAATGGCTGAATGCAATCAAAAGCTGTTACTTGGAGTTTATGGTCAGAGCGAAATAATCAGATCTTAGTGAATAAGTAACACCTGGATGGATGTGATTGATTTAGCTAAGTTTCGACGCACTTAATGTCGCTACTTATATGTGATGGTATTACATCTGTAGTTGAACTCTAATTGGAGGCATTTTTTAATTTTTTTTAAACAGCACATATGGAATTGATGTTAACTTTTCAAAACTTCAATTAAAATCATGTTCTTGTCCGAGAAAAAAGAGAGAAGAGGAAAGGACTGAGACCTGTGAGGGAAATCGACGGATGCTTTCCACTAAGTATTGATAAGATTCTCGATCACCTACAACTAGCTCTCCAACGGCTGGAATTACAGAAAATGAATAATAGTCATATCTGCACCAGAAGATGGAAATTCAAGTTAAAACTTGTTTCGATATAAGCACCAAACCTAACTGCTAAAAGAAACTCATAATAATATCTAGAGTACATTCTAGGTTGGAAACATATTGAAAAAAAGCAAATCAATTCGAAGTTAGAGAATTCAGGCTACCAAGGGCTTCATTAAGAGGGCCATTCAAAAAAGAACAGTAATTTAATTCAGAGTAAAGATAAACAGAATAACAAAAAAGAATTCCACAAAGTATAAAAATTAGCAAAAAGGAACTGAACTACCTTAATATGCTTATGTTAAACAAGAGTAATTTAATCTTATTAGCAAATGTATATGTACACATATGTACCTCAGTCGGAAATAAAACGTCTTAGAAAAGCACAACACCCAAAAGAACAACAGAGATGAAACAATAAATTTGGTTGCATGAAACAATAGATAAAAGTATTTGGATGCATGAAATCCTTCCCAGCTGGTCGTAAGAAAAGGCCTCAATGCTGTACAACAAACTATAGGCCTTTTGAGATTTCTTTTCAATAAACATATTATACTTGCAGCTTAATGTCTCTAATTGGAGTGCTCCTTATAAAGGACTTTGTAATAAAAAATCTAACAGGAATGCCATTAGTTTATATATTTATATAATGAGTGATCAGGAATGTTACTAAGGTATTAAAAGGAATATTAGTAATCAGTTGGGAAAGTTATCAGTGGGAAGTTGTAATGAATAGAGTGAGGAGGAAAGAATGAAGTAAGCAATTGTTTAGTTGTTTTATGCTCGAGTGTGATTCCTAGTAAATCAAATACCTGAGTTCTATTTTAGTTCTTATATACTTTACATTTCAATAGTATTCTAGTTGTATGGGTTCTATCAAAGTTTTCTTTGTTAAACCAAGTTTGAGTGCTGCTTCGTCGGGGCACTCTTAACAGGAGGAGTTATCCATTCAGCAAAAGACCATTCTTTGCAAGCTTCTCAACGGTTCTTTCAGCTTCATCTCTCTCAGTTGGGTGGTTTTCAAAGTTTCAAGTTAAGTTCAAATCTCAAGTCTCAAGTTTTTTCATAAAGTTTGTTCTTTTCCAGCCAATTATTTGTTTTTTTTTTCTCTTTTTTTTTTTTTTCACTCCCTTGTGGAGTTTGTATCCTGTGAGCACTAGTTTCTTTCATTTATTCAATGAAAAAAATTATTTCTTGTCAAAAAAAAAAACAATAATAATAATAGACAAATAAGTTCCAGTTCATCACATAGTTTGAGTTGTAGACCACTATAAATTAAATGATGAAATATTGAATTTTCCCCAAGTAAAAGTGTGGAAGTTACATACAATTCCTTAAATACAGGAGCTTCAACATGGCTTAGCTCAAGGCAAAGAAATCTTCCTCCTCGTCTTAGAACCCTGTAATCAAACACATTTAGTAAATAAAAAAACATTTCCAAAGAAAAGCAAGAAACAAACATGAAACATTTTCTTAGACAACTTTGTTTGGGAAAAGAAAAATAATTGTTATCAAAGGAGAGAAGGTGAAGATGAGATATCTCCCTATTCAAGTGCTAAGAGAGATTATTACACAGAGTCTCTAATAGAACTGAATCAGAAAAGAGAATAATTGAAAAAAAAATTGGAACTATATAGCAATGAAATTTGTTACAATTGAGCTTCATGCGGGTCAAGGGTATCTATTTTGTATTATGTTTTATGCTTCTTTTTTCTGTATATCTTTTCAAATTTCGAATGTCACTAAGACGTTTATTTCAATTAAAAAATAAAAAATAAAAGATAATAATAATAATAACATAAAAAGCTCCACATAGAAGGTAGAAAAGGCTCTAGGACATATCTT